TATAATTTTGGGCCAGAGGGGGATGAAATGAGAACAGGTCGAATTACTTTCCACGGGGCACACAATGCGAGCGGTTCGGCCAGCTTTCTTGAAATAGCCGGGTGGGGCTGTTTTTATTACCGCACGAGAGAGGGGACACGTAAGCGGCTTACGCCCTGCAATTAAAATGTTTCTTTAAATACCCGCCCCGACGTCTCCATTGTGGACAATTGGAGCGCGTATTTAAATCGCGGCTCGTTATACGCGACCTTTGCGCGAGATGGAAGCGAATCGATTCGCGATAATATCGACGATTTTTTGCGAGATTATTTATTTTCTCGAGAACATGAAGATTGATTTACATACAAGTCTCTACTTTTAAGCTGGCGCGATTAAATGTATTTAAATAAATTATATACCACTGAACAAAAAATTGGAATTTGAACAAATATCTATTTTAATATTGTCTAATAAATCATTTATTCGATATGAGAAAATCTTTTCCAAAAAATAAATATTTATTTGTTTCAAATAAATGATTTATTAGGCAGTATTGAAATAAACATTTATTAATTTAATCATTTTTTTACCGTGTAAAATCCTGAATATATATACAAAAAAATATAATTCGATTAAGATATATATATATATATATATATATATATATATATATATAAATAGAAAGGGGTGTGCATGTATATATAATTTTTAAATATTTTATTGGATTATGTTTCGCTACATTAAAAAAATGTGTATACAAGATGCCGATTAATTTGACTTACCGCTATTTATTAAAGATGCCCCACTTTCGATTACGTGCTTTCTTCCTTCCCAAGCAATTTTTGCGCAGCCATCAGAACGTTTACATGCGCGCAGAAAAGAGATCCTCGCCTTTCGTTTCCTTAGAAATTCCGCTGGTTACGGGGTTGGCTCCGCGAAAACGGAACCGATTCCGACGGAGACGCGTGGACGGATATCCTCGAGTATCGTCGAGACGTGACGTACTTACGGGAGAAAAAATCGGCGCAATGAGAAGAATCTGTTCCGCTCCTCGTATTTGCAGATTCCTCCCGGGAGGCGACCTCCTCGCGAGGCTACATTCGCGAAGCCAATTTGCCGGAACATTAGACGCAGACGATGTTTCTGCGACGGGCATCCATTATTGACATTCTCCTCCCGTGATCCAATATTATTAGTACCGATATTTTTTAAAATTCTTATTAAAACTCTGAGTGCGATATATCACTCTCTCTCTTCTCTCTCTTCAGAAAAATCATTTTCCTTTCTTATTTTTGTGCCGTAATTCGAAATAGATATTAAAGAGAGTGAAGAGTGATTGTGCAATTTGAATCTATGACTCTGTTATAATTATTTTTCAAACTTCTCATTTGTTTGGTTTTTTAAGTATCAAGAAAAAAATGAAAAATTTTTCGTCTGATAATAAATACTATTTTAAAATCCTCTTTTAATATTTTGAAATAGATATTGAAGAGATTGCAACTTAAATCTCACTATTATAATTATTTTTTAAACTTCTAATATTTTTTTTTCTAAGTATCAAGAATAAATATTTTGTCTGATAATAAACTATTTTAAATTCTCTTTCAATATTTATATTGAATAAATAAATCTTAGAAAGTTATAGATTAATATTTTCCAAAGAAAACAATTGAAGCAAGCTTTTTTTGTGCTTGCGACATTTTGATATTTTCGATCACGACGCGTAAAGAAAGTAGCATTTGTGGTCCAGATCCGAAATTATAATTATTTTTTAAACTTCTAATATTTTATTTTTTTATTTTTTTAATCAAGAAAAAAATATTCCGTTTGATAATATTATTTTAAATCCTTTTTCAATATTTATATCGAATAAATAAATCTTAGAAAGTTATAGATTAATATTTTCCAAAGAAAGCAATATGACGTTTTGCATAAATGTCAAACAAAGGAAAGTACATTTACAAACCGGGTATATATATATAAAATTCTGTGAATCGTGCAATTGAAGCAAGCTTTTTTTGTGCTTGCGGCAGTGATATTTTCGATCGCGATGCGTAAAAAAAGTAGCATGTGTGGTCCAGATCCGAAATTATAATTATTTTCTAAACTTCTAATATTTTATTGTTTTTATTTTTTTAATCAAGAAAAAAATATTCCGTTTGATAATATTATTTTAAATCCTCTCTTTCAATATTTATATCGAATAAATAAATCTTAGAAAGTTATAGATTAATATTTTCCAAAGAAAACAATATGACGTTTTGCATAAATGTCAAACAAAGGAAAGTACATTTACAAACCGGGTATATATAAAATTCTGTGAATCGTGCAATTGAAGCAAGCTTTTTTTGTGCTTGCGGCAGTGATATTTTCGATCGCGATGCGTAAAGAAAGCAGCATGTGTGGTCCAGATCCGAAATTATAATTATTTTTTAAACTTCTAATATTTTATTGTTTTTATTTTTTTAATCAAGAAAAAAATATTCCATTTGATAATATTATTTTAAATCCTCTTTCAATATTTATATCGAATAAATAAATCTTAGAAAGTTATAGATTAATATTTTCCAAAGAAAACAATATGACGTTTTGCATAAATGTCAAACAAAGGAAAGTACATTTACAAACCGGGTATATATACATAAAATTCTGTGAATCGTGCAATTGAAGCAAGCTTTTTTTGTGCTTGCGGCAGTGATATTTTCGATCGCGATGCGTAAAGAAAGTAGCATGTGTGGTCCAGATCCGAAATTATAATTATTTTCTAAACTTCTAATATTTTATTGTTTTTATTTTTTTAATCAAGAAAAAAATATTCCGTTTGATAATATTATTTTAAATTCTCTTTCAATATTTATATCGAATAAATAAATCTTAGAAAGTTATAGATTAATATTTTCCAAAGAAAACAATATGACGTTTTGCATAAATGTCAAACAAAGGAAAGTACATTTACAAACCGGGTATATATAAAATTCTGTGAATCGTGCAATTGAAGCAAGCTTTTTTTGTGCTTGCGGCAGTGATATTTTCGATCGCGATGCGTAAAGAAAGTAGCATGTGTGGTCCAGATCCGAAATTATAATTATTTTTTAAACTTCTAATATTTTATTGTTTTTATTTTTTTAATCAAGAAAAAAATATTCCGTTTGATAATATTATTTTAAATCCTCTTTCAATATTTATATCGAATAAATAAATCTTAGAAAGTTATAGATTAATATTTTCCAAAGAAAACAATATGACGTTTTGCATAAATGTCAAACAAAGGAAAGTACATTTACAAATGGGGTATATATAAAATTCTGTGAATCGTGCAATTGAAGCAAGCTTTTTTTGTGCTTGCGGCAGTGATATTTTCGATCGCGATGCGTAAAGAAAGTAGCATGTGTGGTCCAGATCCGAAATTATAATTATTTTTTAAACTTCTAATATTTTATTGTTTTTATTTTTTTAATCAAGAAAAAAACATTCCGTTTGATAATATTATTTTAAATGCTCTTTCAATATTTATATCGAATAAATAAATCTTAGAAAGTTATAGATTAATATTTTCCAAAGAAAACAATATGACGTTTTGCATAAATGTCAAACAAAGGAAAGTACATTTACAAACCGGGTATATATACAAAATTCTGTGAATCGTGCAATTGAAGCAAGCTTTTTTTGTGCTTGCGGCAGTGATATTTTCGATCGCGATGCGTAAAAAAAGTAGCATGTGTGGTCCAGATCCGAAATTATAATTATTTTTTAAACTTCTAATATTTTATTGTTTTTATTTTTTTAATCAAGAAAAAAATATTCCGTTTGATAATATTATTTTAAATCCTCTTTCAATATTTATATCGAATAAATAAATCTTAGAAAGTTATAGATTAATATTTTCCAAAGAAAACAATATGACGTTTTGCATAAATGTCAAACAAAGGAAAGTACATTTACAAACCGGGTATATATAAAATTCTGTGAATCGTGCAATTGAAGCAAGCTTTTTTTGTGCTTGCGGCAGTGATATTTTCGATCGCGATGCGTAAAAAAAGTAGCATGTGTGGTCCAGATCCGAAATTCTGCTGACGACCGTTCGGGGACCGCAGCAGTGCTGTATCAGTTAAGGGTTTTTGCTCACTCGAGCGTCCTTACGTACCACGAGGAGCTAGAGGGTTCCCCAAGGATTTTGCACCGGGGCCAGGATATATAAGAGACGACGGAAGATTACGTCGTGTGTATCCCGTGCGATGCACAACACAGCCATTTCTCCAGTAATTGAAAAAGATTTGTTTTTCTCCCGGAGATGTGTCGCTGCCTCCGATAATGTATTATAGTCTCGCGCTGATGTATCGATGCAACAGTCGCGAAAGTTTCGCGAAAGTGGATAAAGCATCGTGAAACGAAACTTTGATAAAAGTATTCGCTTCAAGAATAAACGCAGAGAGAACATTTTAATTTTGCGTAAAACACTATTTTTTTTCTCTCTCCGATACTATTGTCATTGATATCCACACTGAAAAAAAAATTATTTAATTCGAATAAGTACACAGAAAGAATTTTCTCTTAGAATTTATACTGAAAATCGTGCTAATCATGGATAATATGGTATTAGAAGAATTTTATAAGAATTTCTCTGATTAATATTTATTAAAAATAGTAATACATACTTGGAATTAAATTTAAATATGTTTGATGAACTTTACTATGTACATATTAATATTTTTTAATCTGAGATTAAGAGAATCTGAGAAATTCTTATAAAATTCTTCCAATACCATATTGTCCATGATTATCATGATTTTCAGAGTAAATTCTAAGAGAAAATTCTCTCCGTGTATCTATTTCAATACTGTCAAATAAATTATTTATTCGAAACTAATAATATTTATTTGATATAAGAAAATCCTTCTCAAAACAAATAAATATTTATTTGTTTCAAATAAATGTATAGTCATTTTTTTCAGTGCAGAGATATATCATTATTGTAAATTTTTTTATGTTACTAAGGAGAACTAAACGAAAAATTGACGAAATATAATATTACATATCAAGATTACATCTGTCACGTAACATTACAAACTCTCACTGGTTGAGGGACAGAAATCGAGGGTTAATTGCGTTTTTTTCCTCTTTCCATCCTCTCCCATGACTCTTTTAGTGATCAAGATCTTTTATTGAAACTTTGGATTACACTCGTGGGTTTTTCACACACGCTGTCATCTACAATATGTTCAATATGATGCACTTTATTATATATTAATCTACGAACGGCGGTACTTACAGCTGCGGCCTAAAAGCGCGCGAGGAATCCATTTTTTCTTTTCTCTAAATTTTATTCGTATCAGTTCGGTTTATCTCGATCGATTTGCTAAATGGATTACACACAACAAAGTATAATTGCACTGTGTATATCGTCCTCGCGATAAGTGTTTAATCTATCGATCCTAAGCTATACTGTGCTGTTCGATGCCGGGAGCGATTATCGGCGATTTTGCGACGAAAATTGTCAGAGAAACAGATTTTACTGTTAATATAATTCGCCGAGTTCGTTTCTGATCTTGTCATTTTTTTTTGTATGCGCGTGATTCAAATTCTGGGTTAAATTGATTTCTACATTTAAGTCTCTCCGCGGATCAACTCTCTTAATAATATTATTTTTATGCAAGAAATTTGCTATAATAAATTAATATCACAAATCAGTTAAAATTGCGATTTCATGATCTGATTCCGACAATAATAATTGTCATTTTTTTTTCATGTATATTTTTTAAATATTTATCTAATAATCTTATTATGGGAAATTTCTAATATACAATATATTGATTTTTTTATGACACTCGATTTAGGCAAAAATTTGAAAGTATTGAAAATGCTTTTTTTAAAAATTTATTATCGATTTTTTTTACCAAATAATACTATGTAAAAAACAAATTTGTCTTTCAGATGTGGGCGCGTATTATACTGAGCTTTCCGCGAATTTCGCTAGAAAATTATAGCAATCGGCGTATAATATGAGACTAGATTAACAAAGACCCTTGAAAATCCTCGGATTAGTGAGTTCCTTTTCCGTTCTATCTACGAAACGCAATAAAATGATCTCTAGCGTGCGTTATCTTAGAGTCGTTCTATATTCACAACGAGTGCTCGCAAAACTTGTCGATTCGATCGATCTGTTCGCCTACTTACGATGCCGTAAAAGGACGAGACGCGTAAACGTCCTGCTAAAACGAGCTGTTATCCTTCCAGTAAAGATCCATTACCGGACGTGACAAGAGGCCGTCGACTTGTCGACGCGATAAAATTGATGTCTGCTTTCATGCCGATATCACAAGAAACGCGTGAGACGAAATATTACCTAACATTTTCTACTACCGGGTCCATATTTATCTTCTGGGCAAAATCAGAGCCTTATAATTACAAAATCGGGGCCCCCGTTTTAGCGATGAACCGCGTAAAACGTATATATAGCTACGAAATTAAAGAGTTCGGTGCAACACTATATGTTTTAATCGTATATCTTTCTTAAAAAATTGGGAAAACTAATTTCAAGTAAATTTGAGCTTAATGTGTGTCTGGAAATTCAATTTAAATTAATTGTTAATTTTCAATCGATAAAGAAGCTTCGATTTCTTTCAATCCGATGAATTTTTAAATTTAATAAAATTTGTCAACTTTAAAATTAATTTGCCCAGATTTTTAAAAAAGATCATTGTTGCGCATCGAGTCCTTAAATTCGAGAATAAAGAGATCGAGTGTGCTTTTAAGGCAACGGACGTGTCGCAAGCTTACGGAACGGGTTAAACGTGTCCTCCATCTCTTCCGTCACCTTCTTCTCTTCTTCTTCCTCCTTCTTTTCGTGTTACACTGCTGCTCCTGCGTGTCGATTAATCCAGCCAGCCAGCTCGATTAATTGCTCGGCGCGGACGGACTGTGGACTTGGCCGTAAAATATACCGCGTGTAGGACGACAAGCCGAGCAATCGGAACCCGCCCTTTCCGCTCCCGGCTCGTTCGCTACAATAATTATTATCCGGTAATTAGCGAAGCCTCGGCAGTGTTTGTAAACGCCGAAGGATATGTTGCGTTACGTAAAATTCACCCTACGCAAACAACTCGTCGCGTTTTTCTTCCAAAGCAGCGTAACAAAGTCGTCGATAAATAAATCAGTAGTAGAAGTCTTAACTAGTCCGACGCAAAATGTACCTATATAAGAATCATATGAGCGAGAAATTAAATTTAAGGAATTAAAAAATATTTAAAAAATATTTAATTTCTTGTGTATGTCTTTCTTCTTGAATTTTATTTTTAAAAATTAAAAGAAAATAAGAAACAATGTCTATTTAAGAAAGATGTTCAACCATAGTCAGCTCGATTAATTGATCGATGCGGATTGTTGCATTATATATAAAATTAACCCTACATAAACACCTCAACGTTTTTTTCGAAAGCAGCGTAATAAGGTACATAGTCGATAAATAAAGCAGTAGTAGTAGAAGCCTTAACTAGTCCGACAAAAACATATATTTCATTCAACTTAATTAATTGATGATGTGGATTGTTGCATTATGTAAAATTAATGTCAACATTTTCGCATTTGTCTTTGAAAGAAGCGTAACAAGGTCGTCAATAAATAAATCAGTAGTAGAAGCCTTATTTAGTCCGACGAAAACATATATTTCATTCAACTTAATTAATTGAGCTGTGGATTGTTGCATTATGTAAAATTAATGTCAACATTGTCGTATTTTTCTTCGAAAGAAGCGTAACAAGATCGTCAATAAATAAATCAGTAGTAGAAGCCTTAATTAGTCCGACAAAAACGTATAATATTTCATTCAACAAAACGATGCAAGAAATTTAAAAAATTTAGAAAATACACAAAATGTATAATATTAATTTTCTTATATGTCTTTTTCCTGAATTGTAACAAGATTGTTGATAAATAAATCAGTAGTAGAAGCTTTAACTAGTCCGACGAAAACGTATAATATTTCATATTTCACTCAACGAAATAATATAAGACATTTTAAAAATTTAGAAATTATAAAAAATGTTAATTTTGATAAAAATTTTACTATTAATCTTCTTGTATAAATTTTTGCTGAATTTTATCTTTAAAAGCAAAAAAATGAAAAAAGGGCAAAGCGATATCTATTTAAGAAAGATATGCTAGCCAATTCAATTAATTGATGTTGCGGATTGTTGTATTATATAAAATGAACGTAACACAATGTCGTGTTTTCCTTTAAAAAAAGCGTAACAAGGTCGTCGATAAATAAATCAGTAGTAGAAGTCTTAATTAGTCCGACGAAAACATATATTTCATTCAACTTAATTAATTGATGGTGCGGATTGTTGCATTATGTAAAATTAATGTCAACATTGTCGCATTTGTCTTTGAAAGAAGCGTGACAAGGTCGTCAATAAATAAATTAGTAGTAGAAGCCTTAATTAGTCCGACAAAAACGTATAATATTTCATATTTCATTCAACGAAATAATGCAAGAAATTTTCAAAAATTCAGAAAATACAAAAAATATATTAATTTTTTTGTATGTCTTTCTTCCTGAATTGTAATAAGATCATCAATAAATAAATCAGTAGTAGAAACTTTAACTAGTCTGACTAAAAAGTATATTTTCACTCAACGAAATAATATAAGACATTTTAAAAATTTAGAAATTATAAAAAAAAGTTAATTTTGAAAAAAATTTTACTATTAATCTTCTTGTATGAATTTTTGCTGAATTTTATCTTTAAAAGCAAAAAAATAAAAAAAGGGCACAGCGATATCTATTTAAGAAAGATATGCTAGCCAATTCAATTAATTGATGTTGCGGATTGTTATATTATGTAAAATGAACGTAACACATTGTCGTGTTTTCCTTTAAAAGAAGCGTAACAAGGTCGTCGATAAATAAATCAGTAGTAGAAGTCTTAATTAGTCCGACGAAAACATATATTTCATTCAATTTAATTAATTGATGGTGCGGATTGTTGCATTATGTAAAATTAATGTCAACATTGTCGCATTTGTCTTTGAAAGAAGCGTGACAACGTTGTCAATAAATAAATCAGTAGTAGAAGCCTTAATTAGTCTGACAAAAACGTATAATATTTCATATTTTATTCAACGAAATAATGCAAGAAATTTAAAAAATTTCAGAAAATATACAAAATATATATAAATTTTTTTGTATGTCTTTCTCCTGAATTATAACAAGATCGTCGATAAATAAATCAGTAGTAGAAGTCTTAACTAGTCCGACAAAAACGTATAATATTTCATATTTCACTCAACAAAATAATATAAAACATTTAAAAAATTTAAAAATTATAAAAAATGTTAATTTTGAAAAAAATTTTACTATTCATCTTCTTGTATGAATTTTTGCTGAATTTTATTTTTAAAAGCAAAAAAATGAAAAAAGAGAAAAGCGATATCTATTTAAGAAAGATATGCTAGCCAACTCAATTAATTGATGTTGCGGATTGTTGTATTATGTAAAATGAACGTAAAACAATGTCGTGTTTTCCTTTAAAAGAAGCGTAACAAGGTCGTCGATAAATAAATCAGTAGTAGAAGTCTTAATTAGTCCGACGAAAACATATATTTCATTCAACTGAATTAATTGATGGTGCGGATTGTTGCATTATATAAAATTAATGTCAACATTGTCGCATTTGTCTTCGAAAGAAGCGTAACAAGGTCGTCAATAAATAAATCAGTAGTAGAAGTCTTAACTAGTCAAACGAAAACATATATTTCATTCAACTCAATTAATTGGTGGTGTGGATTGTTGCATTATGTAAAATTAACGTCAACATTGTCGCATTTTTCTTCAAAAGAAGCGTAACAAGGTCGTCAATAAATAAATCAGTAGTAGAAGCTTTAATTAGTCCGACGGAAACGTATAATATTTCATATTTCATTCAACGAAATAATGCAAAAAATTTAAAAAATTTCAGAAAATACACAAAATATTTATAAATTTTCTTATATGTCTTTCTCCTGAATTGTAACAAGATCGTCGATAAATAAATCAGTAGTAGAAGCCTTAACTAGTCCGACGAAATTGTATAATATTTCATATATCACTCAACGAAATAATATAAGACATTTTAAAAATTTAGAAATTATAAAAAATGTTAATTTTGAAAAAAATTTTACTATTAATCTTCTTGTATAAATTTTTACTGAATTTTATCTTTAAAATAAAAAAAAATTAAAAAAAAGGGGAAAGCGATATCTATTTAAGAAAGATATGCAGCTAGCCAACTCAATTAATTGATGATGCAGATTGTTGTATTATGTAAAATAAACGTAAAACATTGTCGCGTTTTTCTTTGAAAGAAGCGTAACAAGGTCGTCGATAAATAAATCAGTAGTAGAAGTCTTAACTAGTCCGACGAAAACATATATTTCATTCAACTCAATTAACTAATGATGCGGATTGTTGCATTATGTAAAATTAACGTCAACATTGTCGCATTTTTCTTCAAAAGAAGCGTAACAATGTCGTTGATAAATAAATCAGTAGTAGAAGCCTTAACTAGTCCGACAAAAACGTATATTTTATTCAACTCAATTAATTGATGGCACGGATTGTTGCATTATGTAAAATTAACGTAAAGATTGTAGCATTTTTCTTTGAAAGACCCGTAACAAAGTCGTCGATAAATAAATCAGTAGTAAAAGCCTTAATTAATCCGACGAAAACGTATATTTTATTTCGTTCAATTAATTAATGGTGCGGATTGTTGCATTATGTAAAATTAACGTCAACATTGTCGCATTTTTCTTTGAAAGAAACGTAACAAGGTCGTCGATAAATAAATCAGTAGTAGAAGTTTTAATCAGTGGTAGAAGCTTTAACTAGTCCGGCGAAAACATATAATATTTTATTCAACGAAATGATGCAAGAAATTTAAAACATTAAGAAAATATCAAAAATATTTTAATTTTCTTGTATGTTTTTCTTTCTGAATTTATTTTTAAAAATAAAAAAAAGAGACAATGTCTATTTAGAAGGTATTTAATCATATTCAGCTCGATTAATTGGTCGGTGCGGATTGCTGTATTATATAAAATTAACCCTACGTAAAACACCGCCGCGTTTTTCTTTGAAAGAAGCGTAACAATGTCGTCGATAAATAAATCAGTAGTAAAAGCTTTAACTAATCCGACGAAAACGTATATTTCGTTCAGCTCAATTAACTAATGAAGCAGATTGTTGCATTGTGTAAAATTAACGTTAACAATGTCGTATTTTTCTTTGAAAGAAACGTAACAAAGTCGTCGTAAATAAATCAGTAGTAGAAGCCTTAACTAGTCCGACAAAAACGTATATTTTCATTCAATGAAATAATGCACAAGAAATTTAAAAAATTTAGAAGATACGAAAAATATATATTAATTTTCTTGTATGTATTTTTTCTGAATTTTATTTTTAAAAGTAAAAAAAATTAGGAAAAGATATCTTTATATCTAAGAAAAATATCTAGTCAGCTAATTTGATTAATTGATCAGTAGGAATTATCTCATGATGTAAAATTAACTCTACGCAAATATCGTCACATTTTTCTTTAAAAGAAGCGTAATAAGGTTGTCGATAAATAAATCAGTAGTAGAAGTCCGATGACAATGTTATAGTTAATTTCATCCGCCGAAACGATACGAGAAATTTTACAAATTCAGAAAATGTATTAGTTTTCTTGTATGTACTTTTTTCTGAACAACTAAATTTTATTTTTAAAAATAAAGAAAGAATGAAGACAGAAATGTAAAGATATCTACATTACATTAAGGACAAAGTAGAATTTTAATTAAGTTTAATGGCGTATGAAACTTGTAGCTGAATAGTTGTAGTCTCATAAAGTATTAAAAGTTGTTATGAAATTAAAATAAAATTAAAAATAAGATACGAGAGAGAGAGAGAGAGAGAGAGAGAGAGAGAGAGAGAGAGAGAGAGAGCGCAACATCGCACGTGGTATAATCTTAGATTCAATAACAATTCTAATCATAAGTCTTTCAATATCGTTTCCTAATGATAAATATGTCAATGAAATTAGTTAAGAGAGCAAATTCGGTATAAATAAGAAGGATTCATCAGGCCAATTAGTCCTGATTTCAATTTGCGCTCAGTCGGACGAGAGGATCGATTCGCTTTTCGCATGGAGGGTTTGAAAGCAAGCCTTCCTTTCTGAAAAGATCGCGCAGAGAAGGAAAAGAAGAAGATCGGGAAGCGCGCGTGCTTTTTCCGGAGGCTGTACGTTAGTCAAAGTGCCTGCCGTTCACCGCCAATGATCCTGTATTCGTATTCATCGTGCCGATGCAGCACCTATCTCGTTATTTTCGGCTTACGCCCGCGTTGAATAGGTCCATCGATATATATATATATATATATATATATATATACTCCCGGCAATAAATGTGTGTGTGAATGTAAAAGCGTATAGGTCTCGTCTGAAACGATCGCGTTCCTATTTGCAACCACGCTCTCTGTACTTACATGTTATATCATTGTACAGCAACACCGAGTAGAATAATTTCCGTGGGTTAAAAAAACACCGTAGATATTTTTAAAAATACGTCAAATTAAAATTTCATTTTATAAACGTCGTTGGACAAATTCTAGTATATTTAATGACTTGTATAAAAATTGCCAAATTATTTCTATCGATGACGTAATTTTTTTTTTATGGCGTACAACACATTTTATACACGGAGCGAATTTTCTCTTAAAATTAATCCTGAAAATCATGGTAATTGTAGGATAATATGGCGTTGGAAGAATTTCTCTGATTAATATTTACCACAATAAAAAATATTAATAGGTACATAATAAATTTTACTATTCAAAATTTTTATTGTGATAAACATTAATAATCAAAACTCTTATAAAATTTTTCCAGTACCACATTGTCCCGCGATTACATCATTTTCAGGGTAAATTCTGAGAGAAAATTTTCTTTGTGTATAATTAATATATATATAAAATAAAAAAAAAATATATATATATATAATTCTATACATACTTATAATATATAAAAACGATTGAATTGAGACTGGTCTCTTAGCCGCTCGGAAATATCCGCCACGATCGCGTTAATGTAAATTAGAAGGAGAGATACGGCGCGGCGTCGCGTCGTCGGATTCGAGCGTCGCGACGCCGCGCCGACGGAAGTGGGTACCTGCAGGCTGTATATAGATGCGCAAGCGTACGGCGCAAATCACGCCCCTTGGCCGAGCGTGGGGTCCACCCGCAACCCCATTTCCGCGTTATTACAGCCCGGAGAGAGAAGATCCAGCCCCGTCCGAATATCAAGGCAACCCTACGCGCGCGTTTCCACTTAACACTCCGGTCGCGACTAATTACTCTAATTAATTGGAACTCCGATATTCTCGCCGGAACGCTTGATCTTCATGGTAGCTACTAATTAATTACTATTATCAATAAAGCGCGTTTTACACAAGACGCGATGCGCCCAGACGATACCGCAGGTTTTCTCTCTCTCTCTCTTTCTCGGCGAATCCGGCTATTCATGCGAAAATAACGTGTAAATGTGGCGCATGCAAAGCTGCTTGCGAAAATACGCGATTTTCCGCGACATCGACCCTCGGGAGGGAAACAAGGGAGGAAAAAGGACCGTGAGGGATCTTGAATTATATCTCGGAAGAGCGTATTTCGTGCGACGTTAATTGGAAATGTCATCTCTGCTAGAAATTTCAGAAATTACTGCGTCTACACGTCTATCTTCAATTTATATCTACGTTAGTATTTTTGGGGAATTTTTAACAATTATTAACATATTGATAAAATTCTAGAGAGCTGATTTAATGCTACATCAAAAATTTAGGGAAAAAAAATATTTTACATTCTGCAAATGCTTTATTGTTTCAGAAAAAATGTCATCTCTGTTAGAAATTTCAGAAATTACTGCGTCTACACGTCTATCTTCAATTTATATCTACGTTAGTATTTTTGGGGAATTTTTTTAACAATTTTTTATTAACATATTGATAAAATTCTAGAGAGCTGATTTAATGCTACATCAAAAATTTAGGGAAAAAAAATATTTTACATTCTGCAAATGCTTTATTGTTTCAGAAAAAAAGAAAAATTGACTCTTCATAGGATTTTTTATCATTTGTGCGTGCTACAAAATTACGGAATTTACTAATACGCTTTCCTTAAGAGTTTTCAAGCTTGAAAAATTCTTTAACTCTCTTGCATCCAAACAATTAATTCAATTTGATCAAATATGTGTGTTTGAGGGATTAAAATAATTCTTAGCGATTCTTTCGTAAAGAAGAAAAAAAGGTTTCTCTTGAAGAGCTTTAAAAGCCAACTTACCCTTCCGTTGATTCATAATTTTTTATATCAATATATGTGTACCCGGATACCAATTGCGTTCTTTTCTGTTATATTTTAGGAGATTTCAGAATACAAAGATTTGTATTTGATGTTTCGGGAAGAGAAAAGTTCCGAGACGTATTTAAAGTTGCTTTGGGTATCCGGGCGTTCGTTCTTTAATAGAAGGGTTAAAAGCACGACAAATCTCTCGCTTACCCTTGAGAACATTGAGATGTCGATAGTAAGCATTGCCGTGCCAGCTCTCGGGACTTCTCGCCGGCGGCAATTCCGTCTTCACATCACGTAGAGCCGCGGTTTCTTCGGCGATCTTTTCAGCCTCCCGTTCCTGTAACGAGAAAAATCATCGGATCGACTCATAAATAAGTTCCGCACAGAAAAAAAGGAATCCTTGATTCAAGTATATTTTTATTCTTGAACGCTAATCCCGGTGAACTTGGATTCAAGGTAAAGTCATTTTTTTTTAAGGAAAGACGTCTAGGTCCAAGATGTCTTAATTTTTTTTTTTTTTTTATCAAAATATCTAATTTAATTTTATTTATTTATAGAGTTGATTTCATAAATATTATACGAATCTATGGTTCATTGGATTGGTCTGATTTTTTAAAATTTTCTTCGACGTCTTCTTAGATTTCTTTCCTGAATTCTTGCTCTTTTTCTTTAAAGATAGATAACACTGTTCAACAAAAAAATTAACCAGGACGAAAATTATAGTCGTTTCTTATAACTTTTTGAATGCTGAATCTATGATTTCCCAATTGCTCCATAATGTCACAATTTTGAGAAATTTTTAATTAAAGTTGTAAAAAAGGACTATCTTCGTCATATTACAACTACAATATGTGACGTGGAGAAGTTTCATTGCAATCCAAATAAAGTATGTTCTTAGGACTTTTAATCCTTAAAGGAATTTTTAATAAAATATCCATGGATTAAATACGAGCTGTGTTGACATATCAAAAATTCCTTTTGAGGATTAAAAGTCCTAAGAATATACTTAATTTTGATTGCAATAAAACTTGTCCAGAGTACGTCATATATCGTACAATGAAACCAAGCTACAAAATTAATAAATATCAATACTGCCTAATAAATCCTTTATTTCATCAAATAAAGGATTTTCTCGCATCAAATAAATATTTCAAAACTTGAAAATCAAAGATTTCCTAAAAACGACTCGTTACCTTTTTCGTTGAACAGTGTAACGACACAGAAAAAAGGAATCCTTGATTCAAGTATATTTTTATTCTTGAACGCTATTTGATTGATTTAAGCATAGAATGCTCTTTGTAATCACAAATTTTCATTTGCCTTAATAATAAATGTTTGTGTAAAGTATATTTTATCCTTAAGATATATTCTTGTTTTAAAAATCGCATATGGTAAAAACAAACTTATTGTTAGTCACATTTGAACTAGGAATTATTATATATACTTGAAAGTGCCGTTTATATCCGATGCACACTTGTCACTTGTTCTTGCAATATTTATAAGTAAATTTCAGCTTCAACCAAGAATACTTTGCACTTTGTTTTAAAGATAAATTATCCTTTATCCAAAATTATTTATATTTGGCGTTATTATAAGGATAAAATATACTTGAATCAAGGCATCTTTGCATTCTTTCAAGGATACTGTTTTTTCTGTGCGCTGTAGATAATTATTGCATCGCTGAGAAACAAGGAATTTTTCAATCGAAACTAAGCAGATGTATATTTGCAACAAGTACAGCAAATACAAAGAAAAATTGCAAAAAAGAGGATCAATGTGCGATTTTATTGCAGCTAAAATAATCGTGGAAAAAATTTTGGAATTTTCGTAATCAGTTCTACCTCATTTATCTTATTCTCTAGACCTTGTTTCAGATTTCAATATGTTACTCCAAAATTAATTAAATGGAAAACAATTGATAATGATGCTGAACTCGATGAATTTGTCAAAAAACACATGTGAAAATTGTTCAAGGAAGAACTTGACAAATTAGTATCTAGTTGAGAACAAGTTAATATTTATTAATGAAGAATAGAGATATATAAGAGATTAAAATTTATTGTAAATAATTTTAAATATAAAAATTCATTTAATTAATTTATTTATATAAATATATAAAATTATATGTATAATCGCAAAATTATATATGAAATATGTCTACATAAATATATATGTTTCATATAATTGACATGATTATATATGAACCCTTATAATTTATATATAAATTTATACAATCATGTATAAAAATGGACATAATTTTACGATTATATGTATAATTATACAATTATTTATATATAATTATATATAAAAAATTTATTGTAAATAATTTTAAATATAAAAATTCATTTAATTAATTTATTTATATAAATATATAAAATTATATGTATAATCGCAAAATTATATATAAACCCTTATAATTTATATATAAATTTATACAATTATGTATAAAAATGGACATAATTTTACGATTATATGTATAATTATACAATTATATATAAAAAAATGTTTCCCGGGTAAACGACAGAGTAAAAAATGCTATCGCGATTACACCGTACAAGCAATGGAGTAATAATTCACAATGCTAAACTATCTCTTTACTTTGAGAGGGAACATTATACGTCCGAAACGTCGGCGATCGTGACGTTTCTCGCGATATGTAAGCAGCCTTCATCGGCCAGCGAATATATATTTTTCATTCGACATTAAAGCGTCGGCGTCGACGTTTGGTCAGTTATACAAGCGGGAGGCCGCAGTAATAATATCGTCGCGGAAGAGGAATCGTCATTTTCGTTGGGGGTGGAACGAATGGATACGAAACAGGGTCGGCAAACAGCCGCGATATGTCGCGGCTCCTTGACGTAATGACAGCCGTGGAAATGGATGGACGACCCACCACTCATCCTGATCAACCACTTAGGTATGCAACGATGGCTCGTGGAAACGTGGTCTGAGGGAGTGATGATCTACAATCTAAACGCGCGACGAGCCGCCCAAAGCGGGACGCGCACGGTGCTTTATTTAATGCTTCCGTCGATAGCGATCGTCGAATTACTTAAATTAATTCCGCCGCCGCCGCCATCGCTCGCGCGCGCGGAAGCGGATCGATCGAGGTGAATTATTCACTCGACTCGGCCAGGGACGAAACGAGCAGTTCGTTCTACGCCTGCCTTCGGCCGATTAAAAAGTCACGGAAACGCGCGTTTACCGTAATATCCGAAGAAGAAGGGAGGAGATTATCGGCCCCCAGGGAGCTCCGGAAACGACGTCACCCCCGATATATATATATATATATATATATATATATATATATATATGTATATATAGCTCTATAGTATTCTTATATATATATATATATATATATATATATATGTATATATAGCTCTATAGTATTCTTATATATATATATATATATATATATATATATATAATATGTATGTATATATAGAATACTATAGAGCTAACGATATACTTCGGGTACTCGAATATCTGCTCGCTACTCGAAATGTGAGGATAATACACCTATCCTCACCCGTTACCTGCTTTCTCATTCAAGTATCATCCCCTGTTTGTGTTAGGGAAATAATGACATCCTATTCGTGTACGTGAAAAATTAATAATTATAGTTTAATTGGATTATATTTGAATTCAGCACATATTTATATATATAATATTATACAGAGGGAATTTTCTCTTAGATGGAAAATAAAATTTATTGAATTCGAATAAATATTGATTTCAGTACTGCCTAATAAATTATTTGTTTGAAACTAATAATATTGATTTGATGTGACAAATATTTATTTGATATAAGAAAATCCTTTTTAAAACAGAGATGAACAGTTGTTTGTTTCAAATAAATGATTTATTCGGCCGTATTGAAATAAATATTTATTAATTTAGTAATTCTTTTTTATTATTTGATTAATATTTACCACAATAAAAATATTAATATCTACCATACAATACGATATAACAATATATTCGATTCATTTGACTATGTACATATTAATATTTTTTAGTGTGCTAAATGTTTATAAAATTCTTCCAATATCTTATTGTCTTACGATTACCATGATTTTCAGAGTAAATTCTAAGAGAAAATTCTTTCCATGTAGAGAAAATAATCCGTTGTTCAGAAAATAATGCCACACATTTTTTTCAGAAATTATTCAACAGATTTGAAAAGTTTACACACAATATACATAATATAAATTAAATATGTATAAATTTCAAACTTGTTGAGTATAGTTTTTAAGAAAAAAAATGTGAGGCACATTATTTTCTGAACAATCTTAATATATATATAGATAATTTTATTAGTCTTGTACATCTACATGTAGCTATAAAAAAATTTCCTATATCTTGGTTGACGTAATTATTTGATTTAGGTATTCACTGTGATCAGTGTTGTGCTTAGATGATTTTAAAATTAGCTAGATAAAGATGAGATAAAAATATGTAAATTCATCTTCAATAAGATAAAGATAATTTTGTTTTAAATATATCTAGATAAAAGATAAAATTATATGGCGACTCATCCAGTAGATAAATTTTATAGAAAAAAATGTAAATTATAAAAAGGATATAAAAATTTATGTATTCATATATATTTTCATTTATAAATTTTTATCGCTCACTGCTTAAGTTCTACTATTTAAGTATTTTTATGTGCTATGATTTTCAACCAAATTATCTGAAAATTATTCTAAATCATTTAATAAAGATAATACTCTTTTCATCTAAGATATATAAATAATACATATTTTTATGATCTATATAAAGATAAAACGACACCAAAGTTTCATCTAGATGATCATCTATATAATTTTCTAGATAATAATTTTTAAAACTACTTATATAAATACAGTTATAAAAAATGTAAATTATAAAAGGATATAAAAATATATGTACCTATTCATATATATTTTCATTTATAAATTTTTATCGCTCACTGCTTAAGTTCTACTATTTAAGTATTTTTATGTGCCATGATTTTCAACCAAAATTATCTGAAAATTATTCTAAATCATTTAATAAAGATACTAAATATATAATAATATAAGATACTAAATATATAATAAAGATACTAAATAAATTTAATAAAGATTTAATAAAGACTCTTTTCATCTAAGATACACAGATATAATAAATAATACATATTTTTATGATCTATATAAAGATAAGACGACACCAAAGTTTCATCTAGATGATCATCTATATAATTTTCTTTAGATAACAGCAAACACACACTAACTGAGATTCGCTGTTAGAGTTTAAGGGGCGTTATTTAAAAATCAGCATACACTTATATCGCGGCTTACCGATTTCCGTGCGTAT